TCAAATGCTTATCTATTAAATTAGCCAATTTGAAAAAATACTAGAAACGCGCCAATCATATAATAACAAGTGTCTGATTGGCTGAAATTATATGACATCACCTTATTATTCCAAACACAAGAGGGCAGTATATATTGACATGTGATGTACGTCATTGACACGTATGGTTCCTTAATGGTTGAGGCTTTACCCATTATAAAAGTTACACCGAGCAAATATATGGATGTTGGCATAAAAAAAAAATGCTATTATAAAAATATTCATTATTTTATATTCTATCATAGTAAAATCGTCTTCTTATATCTCACTTTTTTGTTTGGTGGCATATGGGTTAATATTTTCAATACTGACAAGGTAGTATTTTGCTTATAAGAATGAAATAATGCTTTATTCTGTCGTGTAGAACTGTACTCACATTTTTTTGTGTGTTATTTGTAACAAAAATGTAAGTTTCGTGCCACTTCACAGAATAGCATTAACTGTGGATGAAAATTTTTTTAACCAATTTTCATAAAAATTCAAAGGTGAACTGAGTTGAAAGTGTCACATTTTAATAACTTTTTAATATAACCTTTGTCAATAGGAAGGTCATTAAGGTAATGTGTTTTGATATTTTAATAACCATTATGTAATTTTACTTAATTAAAAGTTGTAATATCTGAGGAAAGCTGATAATTGCATGTATAATATCACTTTGTTGTCGTTCAATTCAATTAGCATGTTGCAGTCCACAAGGCTGTAAGGTATTATATTCTCTGTGATCACAAGATTTGACAAATCTAGTACCGGTACACCAGGGAAAAAATGCAAAATTTTAGCAGTAAATGTTTCATTTACTTTTTCTATAGTTATAATATTTGAAGTGACTATAATTGTACTTTTAGTTTAACATAGAAATAAGTACCAGTAGTAGTACTTTAGACTTTACTTCAGCTGGAATTAATTGTCGCTGAAAAAACTTTTTGGGTGTTTTGTATAGAGTTTATTTTTGCTGACTTTTGATGAGCTGAGTGTAAAAGATATGAAAAAAGGTACCGGTATATGCTCTGAATTTTATTTTCAACTGAATCATCCCTTTATCGAAAATAGTGGAAATAAATTCAAGCGAAAATAAAGTATTTTACAGTACATCACCTACCCATTTAAACTCAATTTATATGTATGTAATGAAATTGTTTGTCCGCTTTCCAAAATCGTAAAAATATAAACAATATTAAACAAATTTATGATGTTTACATTTGTTGGTTTTACTCTGATGCTTTTGCGTTGTTTCTCTACATTTTTGACTCCCATGTGCGAAGCACAAAATGGGAGTCTTTGCAGTTAGTGTGTCTGTATGTGTGTATGTGTGTATGTATGTGTGTGTGTGTGTATGTGTGTCCGACTGTTCCACTGCTATCTCAAGAACCATACATCGGTTTTTGATGAAACTTGGTGCATAGATGCTCTGGGCCAATGCGCAGATTTGATTAGGTTTTGGTAAAAATCCATGCTCGTTAATTACCTAATTTGTATGATAATTAGCTAATTTTTAGCTGTTCTATGACTGTTCCACTGATATCTAAAGAACCACTCATTGGATTTTGATGAAACTTGGTACATAGATGCTCTGAACATATGCGCAGATTTGATTAATTTTTGGTAAAAATCCGTGCATATTAATTACCTAATTTGCATGATAATTAGCTATTTTTTAGTGGTTCCATGACTGTTCCACTGATATCTAAACAACCACTCATTGGATTTTGATGAAACTTGGTACATAGATGCTCTGAACTAATGCTAGGTTTTGATTAGTTTTTGGTAATAATCCGTGGATACTAATTACCTAATTTGCATAATGATTAGTCAATTTTCGGTTTTTCCACTGATATCTCAAGTACTAATCATCACATTTCAATGAAAC